CAGGGAGAAAGGGATAGGGACACGGGGACAGGGACAGGGACACGGGGAAAGGGATAGGGACAGGGACAGGGTCAGGGAGAAAGGGATAGGGACAGGGATAGAGACAGAGACAGGGATAAGGGATAGGGACAGGGACAGGGACACAGGGAAAGGGACACGGGGACAGGTATAGAGACAGAGACAGGGATAAGGGATAGGGACAGGGATAAGGGATAGGGACAGGGACAGGGACAGGGGGAAAGGGACACGGGGACAGGGATAAGGGATAGGGACAGGGAGAAAGTTGGAAAGGGACAGGGGACAGGGATAGAGACAGGGATAGGGACAAGGACAGAGTTAGGGACATGGGGAAAGGGACAGGTTTGGGGAAAGGGACAGGGTTGGGGACAGGGACAGGAATAGGGTTAGGGATAGAGACAGAAATAGGGACAGGGACATGGGGATAGGGACACGGGGATAGGGACAGGGATAGGGATAGAGACAAGGACAGGGATAGGGATAGGGACGCAGGGACAGGGACAGGGATAGAGACAGGGACAGAGATAGAGAGCAGGACAAGGATGAGGACAGAGAGGGGAACAGGGACAGTGAGAGGGATAGAGCCAGGGGAAACCAAACAGAGCGAGGGGACAGGGCCAGAGTGGGGGACAGGGGCAGGGCAAGGTGGCACTTTCACATGTGCCACTTCCCCGCTGTTTCTTTGGAGGGATCAATCAAAGCACGGGCAGGAAGGTTCTGTTTCTGTAACAGCGTTGTATACCTTTTAGTATTTGTATTTTATTTGTGTTAGCTAATAAATATTTGTATTTCTATTGTATCTTAGTATTTTATTTGTATTAGCTAATGTGTGTATACATTCTTCCTGGCGAGCGGCCAGGCCAGGTCCTGCCATCGCTGCGGGTCCGTGCGGGGCACAGAGCGGCAGAGCGGGTCCGGGCGGTGCGGTGGGAGCGGAGGGGTCGGTGCCACCCGGAGCTGTTTGGAGCAGAGGGGCCGGTGCCGCTCGGTTCGGAGCTGAGGGGCCGGTGCCGCTGGGCTCGGAGCTGAGGGGCCGGTGCCTCCTGGAGCAGAGGGGTCGGTGCCGCTGGGTTCGGAGCGGAAGGGTCGGTGCCGCTCGGTTCGGAGCGGAGGGGCCGGTGCCGCTGGGCTCGGAGCGGAGGGGCCGGTGCCGCTCGGTTCGGAGCGGAGGGGCCGGTGCCGCTGGGTTCGGAGCTGAGGGGCCGGTGCCGCTGGGCTCGGAGCGGAGGGGTCGGCGCCGCTCGGTTCGGAGCGGAGGGGCCGGTGCCACCCGGAGCAGAGGGGTCGGTGCCGCTCGGTTCGGAGCTGAGGGTCCGGTGCCGCTCGGTTCGGAGCTGAGGGTCCGCTGCCTCCTGGAGCAGAGGGGTCGGTGCCGCTGGGTTCGGAGCGGAAGGGTCGGTGCCACCCGAAGCAGAGGGGCCGGTGCCGCTCGGTTCGGAGCGGAGGGGTCGGTGCCGCCCGGCTCGCAGCTCAGAGCTCGCTCCGTGCCGCCTCTCGGCGGAGGCGGCGGCGCAGGCCGCGCCCGCCGGGGAGTGACGGCGGCGGCACTTCCTGCGGGCGAGCGGCGGCGGAGCCGGAGCCTTTGTGCGGGAGCGGAGCAGGGTCCCCGCGGCGCCCCGCGGCCCCGGCGGGCGGCAGGAGCGGAGGCGGCGGCGGCTGCAGTGCGGAGACCGGCGGGGGAGCCGCTTCCCCCGCCTCCACCGCCGGCCAGGACAGCGGAGGCGCCGCCGCTCAGCCGGCTCCGGCCACCAGGTATTTACCGGCCCCTCCGTTCCCCGGGCCCGGCCGGGCGCGGAGAGTGCGGGACAGGGACAGGCACAGGGACAGGGACAGGCACAGGGACAGCGGCGGGCACAGGGACAGCGGCGGGAGATCCGCCCGGCCGGGCCCGGGGGATGCGCTGCCTCCCGGCCGGGCCCGGGGCACTTTCCCGGTGCTCGGAGCCTCCCGGGGCCTGCCCGGCTCAGCCCCGCTCAGCCCCGCTCAGCCCCGCTCAGCCCCGCTCAGCCCCGCTCAGCCCCGCATCCGCAGACCCGGGCACAGAGGTCGGGACCGGGGTAAAGCTGCCCCGGCGTTCCGGGCTCGCAGCGGAGCGCTCATAACCCCGCTGGGGGAAATAAAGAGGGTTTGGGGCTGTTCTCCCCCCAGCTCATCAAACTTCCTTTCGGGGAACTCGTTTTCCTTCGGGGGGCTCTGCCCGCTCCTCCCCAGCCTCCCCGGGGCTGCCAAGGGTCGCTGGTTGGGAAAGGGAGAAATGCTAAAATTGCCCAAAATCTCTGTAGCAAAAAAATGGGTTTCTAGTGACAGGAGCGAGTCGCCACGGGGAAAGCAAAGCAAGGCTTTGCGCTGTCATTTAATAGTGTTTTTGAAGCTCCTTGCCTTTGTAGGTTAATTTCACCGGTTGCTGTTTTTTCCCAAAGATCGATCACTATCTAGGAGTTAAAATCCCCTTTGTGTACTTAGTGGGATGTTGATAGAAAGATGACACAGTTCAGCATTTCTACATACAACCCCAGAACATTAAAACATTCAAATTGAATAAGTCCTCCATAGGCAACAGGCAATATTAAAATGTCTTTGCTCTTCTGATCTCTGTGACAAAGGATTTGGGAATTGTCTCTCATCTCTTTCTTGCACCATTTTCTTACCTAGGTCGTGTTTTCTGTTTACAAGCCTGAAGATGGCTGCTGCTGCTTCCTGCAATGTGGAAGAGGATGAGAGCCTGAAGGGATGTGAACTCTATGTTCAGAAACACAACATCCAACAGATTCTAAAAGAATGCATTGTAAACCTCTGTATAGCAAAGCCAGACCGACCCATGAAATTCCTCAGAGAACACTTTGAAAAATTAGAAAAGGTCAGTGATTTTCAGGTGACTTTACATTTTCCATTTATAAAATGAAAAAAGATTGTTTAAAGATTTAAAATATTTTGGTACTTTTTTTTCTTTATAAAATGACCACACAACTGTGAAAATATAAACTGTTAAGAGAAAAAAGCCCCAGCCCTTCATTTGTGGATGGCTACTATAACATTTGCTATAGTTTAGACTATTTTGTGCATAACACCAAGATTATAATATCTCAGGAAACTGCATTTGTTAAAAATGACCCAAATTGTTTGTGAGGCACGGTACCCTGAACTTTCATCTCTTGGAAGAACCTGCCTTTGGGTGTAAATGATGTTGTTTATTCCAGTGTGGTGGGGTTTTCCCTTCCCCTAAAACTGACCCAAATCAGGGAACCCGCAAGTTCTCTAAATCTTTGAGCAGTTTGCTGTTGAATTTCAGTGCTCTCTCCTGTCTGCAGTGCCTGTCCCAGGATCCTCTGACAGGGGATGCATTAAGAGACACCTCACTTGCTGTGACTGCCTTCAAGAGCAGTGTAGAGAGGGGGAAACATTTAGAGCATTCCCAAACAAATTCTCTCTAAAGCCTAGGGGTATCTTTGCAGGAAGAGCACGTTGTGTGAGCAGGTGTTGTTGCAGGCTTGAGAGAAAAGGTTTAGTAGTTTCTTCCTTCAGGAGTGAATAATACATAAGGCTGATATATCACCAGTGATGTAAAACATTTAATACATCTCACTCTCTGCTTTTCAGATTCATTTTTCTGTAGGTGAGTATATGGCAAATTCCTGTAGTTTTAAAAAAATGCAAATATTGCATGTTGATGGTGGCCTGGGACATCAGAGAGGGGTAGAAAGTACAAGGTGGTTTGTAATTGTATTTGATTATTGTGAAAAAGAAACAGTCTCTTGATTCTGTATATTCTAAACTTCTGACAGCCAAGACTCATTTTTAGAGACTCAAAACTGTTGAATTTCCTTCACTGTGTTGTCAATTATCATCCATCATAACGTGTGGAATTTTGGACTTTTTGAAAAGAAGGATGAACACCATTCTTGAAAAAATCCCATTAAAACATGCTGTGGTATTATGGGATATGCTCCATTGCTGGAGGGATTTCTTGAGGAGTTGTACTGGGGGAGTTTGGCTTTGTTGGTGTTAACACAGCACACACACCTGAGACAGGAGGGCAGCTCCTACCCTTGAGAAATGAGATCTTCTTTCATGTGATCTCCTATTATTTCTCAAAGAACAGCAGATCCCAAAACTGTGTAGGACATCAATCAGGATGCCAGCACAGGAGCTGATGGATATCACTTGTCTCAAAATGGAAGATGATTTAGAAAACATCAAGGCATCAACTGCAGGGAATATAGTGCTTGCTGTGGGAGGACACAATCTTGGCACTGCCTCTCTAGAGCAGCCTGGGGGCCCAGCCTGCTGAGCCTGGAGGCTTTAGGCTCCTTCTGGAGGTTTCCAGCACTGTAATTCCTACAGCAGTTTGACTCCCTTGTTGCCCAAACATCTCTGAGGACTTCCTTGGGAAAAATTGCATATGAAGGATTTTATGCTGTAGAATAATATTTTCACTTAGTTGGTTGCATGAGAACAGTTGAAAGGAAGACTTCTAAAGATAGAGAAATCTTTCAATAAGTTTTATCCTGTTTTTGTATGCTTGTCATATACAGGTAGTTTGAAGAATCCTAATGGAATTGTGAATTTAGCAATTGTTCATTAGATTTTTGTAAATGTGCAATACTGACATGGCACATTCACTATTAACTCCTTAAATTTGGTCATGTGTAGGGAGAGGAGTGAAAATCTTTGGGTTTAATAATGACTTTCTAAACAAAGTCGTGCATTTTTCCACCTAAGTGTGGTATTGTGAGGTTATTTTCCAAACTCATTAAGATAAACAACGCATTTCACTGAAGAAAGCAGTAGAAGAACAGTTTATCTGTCAAAAACACATGTGGGAAGTTTAGAGATGAAGTGTAGGATATTTTTCAAGTGGTTAAAAAAATGAGCTTGTGGAAAACAAGTAGAGCTTGATCCACATCAATGTACTGGAGCTACCTCAGAAGTGAATAAAAAAAAAAAGAAGAGTGTGTTTAATTTTGCTAATTCTTAACTCCATCTCATAAAATCAAGATTTATTGTGATATGCAAGATCAGAGCAGATCATAAATGCTTCTCACCTTCTGATGGCATCAGAGTTGGGTCCGTTGCCTTCAGCCTGCTGCTAAATGAGAAGGGGTCAGGGACTGACCCTGACCCAGCACTCTCCCTGGCTCCAGTGTCATTCCCAGGTCTGAGACGTCAGGAGCAGGTTTGTTTTGGCAGGAACTGGTCCCAGCACTGAGAGCAGAGCCAGCAATGAGGTAATGCTCGAGGGATGTGCGCTGTCCTGGGCTAGTGTTCAGCTCTGTGGCTGGGCCACTCTTTATTCACAGCATGGACATGGCCTGAGAGGGCTGTAAAAGGAGAACGTGAATAAATAATTCTGAATAAAGTACTGGAGACTGAGGTTTGATGTTTGATGTTTAATTCTGAAGGAGTGCCAATGTTAGAAAGAACACTCCTCCCAAAGACTTTCTAAACACAGCTTATTTGTATCAAGTACAATATCAAAAACCATTGCTCTGAAAATAATTGTGGGAAAACTTTAATACACATTTTTCTGTTCACTTAATACTGGCAGGACCTGCTTAAGTTGCCAGCAATTGCTGGGAATCATCTTATGTTTCTATATTCTGAAGTTTGCAAGTCACTTTTATATGCTGTGACCTATGGACTTCAAGACGACATCTACTCTGATCTCATTAACAGTTACTTTGTAAAAATCTGTAACGTGCCCTTGAGCACAGAAAATAGTTGAAAACAGTTTAGATACTTTAGATTTTAAAACCTGTGATATTTCCTTTGAACAATTTCTTTTCCGTTTCCCTCTGACTGCATAGATCTTGGTGGATGGAGTGAGGAAAGTCTTTCCCTTAGGGATTGTAATTGTTTTTTTTTTGGACTGAGGGAATAGATGTTAGCTAAGAAACTGTGCCATTATTTTAACAGCTGTAATTAAGTCCTGTTTACTTGAGGACATAGCAGAAAAAAACAGGGAACCCATATTTTATCTCTGGTTCTTACACTATGTGAAAAAGTCAATTACTGAGAAATTACAGGCAATGCTTTGTATTTTTAGCCATACTGAGACTGCAAAAATTTCATAGTGTCAGGCTGTTTAGTGCCACGATTATATGATCAAAGGTGGAGTTGTCTTGCCAGGCTAAGCTCAGCTGTTCCACAGCAAAGAATTAGAATAAAGAATAGAACTAATGAAGAAAAGGGCACAAAAGAGGAAGCAGCAGCAAACCGCAGGATGTGTTAACAAGGCTTCGCTGAAGCCATTTTAATGTTGGGTGTTTTAGAGCAGGGCTGTGCTGGCTGAGCTGGGCTTTGCTGGCACTTTCTGGACCTGGGCTCTCTCCAGGCCCCTTTTGCTGCCCTCAGCACAAGCAGAAAACTCTGCTTTCCTCTAATAAATTACTGCAGCGCTCTCTGGGGTCCCGGCTGATGCCACATGCCTTGCGGCTCTGTTGGAAGGAGAATTTTGGGCTCAAACCCTGCGGTTTTGGAGCCTGAACCCTGTGGATTTGGAGCTCAAACTCCACAGTTCTGGGAGCCTGAACCCCATCATTTTGAAGCTTGAACCCCACGATTTTGGAGCTCGAACCCAGTGGTTTTGGATCTTGAACCCCACGATTTTGGAGCTTGAACCCTGTGGTTTTGGATCTTGAACTCTGTGGATTTGGGACCCCAAACCCCGCAGTTTTGGGGGCTCGAACCCCCGGATTTGGGCACTTCAACCCCATGGTTTGGGAGCTTGAACCCTGCGGTTTTGGGAGCCCGAACTGCAGTTTTGGGAGCTCAAACCCCGCGATTTTGGAGCCTGAACCCCACAGATTTGGGAGCTCGAGCCCCACGGTTTTGGAGCTTGAACCCCGCAGGTTTGGAGCTCGAACCCTGCGGTTTTGGGAGCTTGACCCCATGGATTTGGAGCCCGAACCCCGCGGATTTGGAGCTTGAACCCCAGGGTTTTGAGCCCGAACCCTGCAGTTTTAGAGCTTGAACCCCGTGGTTTTGGAACCTGAACCCCTCAGTTTTGGGGCTCAAACCCTGCGGTTTCGGAACTTGAACCATGCGGTTTTGAGCTCGAAGCTCACGGTTTTGGGAGCTCGAACCCCATGGATTTGGAGCCCGAACCCCGCGGATTTGGAGCTCGAACCCCACAGTTTTGAGCCCAAACCATGCAGTTTAGAGCTCGAACCCCGCGGTTCTGGAGCCTGAACCCCGCGGTTTTGGGGGCTCAAACCCCACGGTTTGGAGCTCGAACCCGGCGTTCGGGAGCCCGAACCCCGCGGATTTAGGAGCCCGAACCCCGCGGATTTAGGAGCCCGAACCCCGCGGTTTTGGAGCCCGAACCCCGCGGTTTTGGATCCCGAACCCCGCGGATTTAGGAGCCCGAACCCCGCGGATTTAGAGCCCGAACCCCGCAGATTTAAGAACCCGAACCCCGCGGTTTTGGAGCCCGAACCCCGCGGATTTAGAGCCCGAACCCCGCGGATTTAGAGCCCGAACCCCGCGGATTTAGAGCCCGAACCCCGCGGATTTAGGAACCCGAACCCCGCGGATTTAGGAACCCGAACCCCGCGGTTTTGGAGCCCGAACCCCGGGTTCGGGCGCGCCGCCCCCTGGCGGCGCTGGGCGGAACTGCACCCGGGCGTGCCGGGACCCGGCCTGGGAGAGAAAAGTGCAACAAGTCACAAATTCCCCCTCTGTTAGCAAAACACACTTTGTTCACTTACCGCAGAGAGTTTCAGAACCAAACATACCCGAGCATCAAATTTTGGGCACCAGACTCTTCTTCTGCGGCAGTATTATCTCTCCCAGTATTTGTGTTTTATCACAGAAAGGAATCCTTAGATCAATAATTTCCACCAGAACCTGTCTAAACTGATGAAATTAATTCTTAAAAGTACAATTTGTTATTATGCGAAGTATAACTCACTGCTTTCTGATAAGCTGGAGAGGGGTTAGAGATTTGAAGCAAAATCACACAAAGAAAAAAACTATAGAAAAAATGCATCACCCAAGCAGTTTTATAAAGCCTAATAATGATATTGTTCAAAGCTTGCCAAGCTGTTGGGTGGTATCTCCGTGGTGGTCAGAAATGTTGGTAAAGCATGCAGGAACATACCTGAGATGCTGATAGGAGTACAACAGTGGGAGCACCAGGTGCCCTGGCTGTGTGACTGCACTTCTGAGCAGGCTTGGGCAGCCTCTGTCCTGCCTCTCCCCTGAGATCAGTTCTGGGAAGAGCTGGATGAAAAGCAGCTCAGGTGGGACCCCTGTGATTGCCAGTCAGCCCCAGGCAGTCTTCTGAGAGGTGACAGTTTTCTTGGAAGAGGTAAAGGAAAACAAGGTGAATTTTTAAAGCCCCCCCAGGCAAACTTTCCTGCATGCAGGGAAAGATGGAGGATAAAGGAAATAAGAGCAGAAAGAGAAAAAAAGCTTTTTCCACGAGAAATAAAATTAGCAAACCCCAGCTCTTATGAGCTTGTATGGAACATATTAGAGCTGAGCCTCCCTGTTTACTTTGTGTGTCCACAAGTGTGAGTGGCTTTCCCAGTCTCAAAGCCAAAACTTAACAAATCCAGGGTGCAGTCATGGAGCAGGGAGGGAATTCTGCCTGGAAGACGTCTTTGTTTCACATCTCAAGCTCCCCTGTTTTACATTCATCAGGTTACTTAATCCACTTTTATGTGGGCTTGTCTCTTCTTACACAAGCTATGCGTGCATACATTGTTATTTGGCTGGATTTTAAGAATCAGAAGTGTTGGCTATGATTCTCTTTGATTATATAAGCTTTTAAGTATCAAAAATAGGGTCTGTGTTTTGTAACATAACCTCTCACTTTGCTGTGAGGCGTATGTAAGAAAGTAGGGAAGAGGTGGTGGTGATGGGTTGAGATGCTGAAGACACTGGTGGGGGAAGACAAGGAGTGTGAACAAGTTGCAGGAGGTAAAACAATGGCAGTGAAGGGTCTGAGGAAGGTCAGGCATGCAGCTGGAGTGTCATCAGAGTAGGTGGAATTTTGGCAGGAGAATTTTGCCTGGATTGAAAATTGGGAAAGAGCAGAAATGCAGAGAGGCCACGGAGGATGCAGAAATAGTAATCAAAGTGGAGGATAACTATGGAGGGGGTAAATGCTTTGGTAGAATAGTAGGGAGTGCATTTAAAGATATTTCTTAGAATTGCTGTAGAAGGTAGCATGGAGCAGGAGGAAGGCAGTGGAACAATCATTGGGATTGTGTGAATAACAAAGCTGAATTGATCATAAAGATTGTCTGTCCTGGCAAAGATAAGACTGGAAAGAACATTAAGATCTCCCAGATTTTTCCTGCTTTTAGTGATGGCATCAGTCAGTCCTGTGTTTCCAGCAAAATGAAGTGCTTTGCCTTTGGCCTTTATTGGTTGTTGTAAATCATCAGCCCCAAGGAGTGGTGAGGGGTGTTAGAAACCCTCCTGGATAGAGAGCATCTCCTCTGGGTCAATTCCAGTGCAAAGAGAGATTAGTTACCTGTTCATGAACCTTCCTGCATATTTTCTGTGAATAATCCAGGTCTATCAAGCAGAAAAGTTTATGACTGTGCTTGAGGAGAAAAAGAAAAGCATTTAAAGTGTACTTGGTGGTGTTGTTTTTGAATGCAATGTATACATTGTAGGAAGCAGAGCAGAGGTACTGAGCTTTCATATCAAATGTCTGACTTGCTTTTAAAAGTCTTTTTGGGATGTTGCTGTAAGGCTGCACAGTGATTTGGAGCTCCCTTAGCTGCTTTCCTTCCTTCAGCTCATCTGAGTTTTCAGGTAGTGACAAAGCCTGAAAGGAGAGACTGGGAGAGGAAGTGAATTTCTGTTTAGAAACGCTCCAGCTGACAGGGAAGAAAGCTTCTGGGTCAGGAGGTGTGTGTGCTCTTGAGCAGTGGTCTGAAAGGAAGGGTAAACCTAAGAACTGTCTCAGCATTGTGGCTGCTTCACTTGCAATGCTTAAACTTATTAAAAATTCATGGAAGCATTATCTGGGGGAGATGCTGAATATGCTAAATTCCTGTGGTTTATACCTCAGCCTCTTGTATCTGAAAGTGGACACTCAAATGATAGATTGGTTACTTCAGCTGTATTTATTGGTTCTTCTTTCAGTTTGAGGCAATGATCAAAGGCAGTTGCACTGTTGTGCTGTTGTGTCTTCCATGTGTTTTCTCATTTGAAGGTGGACATGATTGGGCAATATGATTATGAATTATCAGTGCCATCCAAAGAGAGAAAGAGAGAGAAAATCACTTGTTGTCATGACAACAAAAGATGATGTGGTGTTTACTTGAAGCTGAGTTCTGCACAAGGATTCGCACCAAGCCGCATCTGAAGGTCGCTGTTTGAAGAACTCTTCTTGAGCCAGCTCATTCCTCCTTTCAGACATTTGCTGCTTTTGTGCAGTTTTACCCCAGGATATGTGGAAGACGCCTCTCTGAAAGCTCAGCCCAGGACAGAGGAAACTCTTTGATTTGCAAAAGGCACGCTGCAGTTCAGGAATGGGGATCCCTCCCAGCCTGCAGCTAGCGGCGTGTGGAAAACCAGCCAGCCACCTGCCTGCTGTTTATGTAAAAGGAGTTTGTAGTGAAGAGACTTCCTTTTAAAATGAAGCACACCGTAACTCACTTTTATAATCCTTTAAAATCTTGTTGGCTTCTAAAAGTATTTGAGTTTAAGAGCATGCTTTGTAGTATTAATTTTATCTCACTGAGCTTCCTTTTGTATATAAATCTCTGCTGGGGCGGGGGAGATATTATTTATTAATTCCTTGGAACTGGCTTTTATGCAATGTGTACTGAAGAGAGAAGAGTGTATTTTATATTCAAATGTGGCAAACTACTACTCTTCTCTCTGAGTAAATATGCTCTGTATAAAAAGAACTGTGTAAGTGCTGCACACCATTAGTTACCCGACTACCCTCTTGTTGTACCTGCCTTTTAGTTAAATTTTAGCTGCTATTCTTCAGAAGGGTCTCTACTACCTTTCAGTTAAGGCCATGCAGAAGGTGCATTTGATTATGTTAATTTAATATAGTCAGAGACCACTAACACTATCAGAGATAGGCAATCAGTAATGTTATCTGAAAGTCTTCAGTCATAGCTTTTGTTTTTAAACACTAAATATTAAATATAATTGTAATATACAGCACACATTTGTACTTGAAATATTTTGCTTGATTGTTGTTTAGGAATCTAGAGACAGAGAGGAGTAAGGAAGAAGTTGATGAGAATGCTAATATAGAATTTGCAGTTCTTACACTATAGGAAAATCTAATTGAGTCATTTTTTACATAGCTAGTGCTGCTATTTGAATGTGAAATTAAAAAGTTTCAGTAAGGATTTAATACATCTGAAATTCTGTTTTTTTGGTTACAGCACCGAGGTCAACTGCATTGTGGCCTGGGAGTTTTGGGGTTGTAAGCCAAATTTAAACCCCAAATGGTCTCAGAAAGAACTTGGCACTTTTTGAGGCAGGTCAGATCTTTAACCAGCCCTCTACATTTTATCTCTGATCTTGTCCCCTAAATATTTCAGTAGCCTTCTTCAAAACAAGAATGTGTGACTTGTTACTCTGAGTCCTGCAGCATGGGAAATGCTGTTCAGTTATTTATTTCAAGTAGCAATAGTGCATCAAAGACTGGTGTCAGAGAAGGGCAGTGTCAGTGATGGTGCAGGAACTGACTGGAATAAGACCAGAAAAGACAGGTGGCATGATGGATTTGATGTAAACACCAACGGCAAAACATATATTAATCATCCATTTTTCTTGCAAGCTTGAAAGTTGTGAGCTTGTGCCAGTTTTCTGTACCTGATGAGCTGTGGATAAGTCACTTCCTCTGTCAGTGGGACCAGCTGGTGATGCTGGTGCTCTGCCACTCGTGCTGGTGCTCCCAGATGCTCCCTCCTCCACTCACTCCCATCCTAGCTCGGAGTGGAAAGCCTCACTGGAAATTTCCTGTAGGACAGAGCCAGGTCCTGGCATCCCTGTTGGAGGAATGTTGGTTTATGGGGTGTGCAGGGAGCTCAGCATCGCTGTGGTTTCTTTTGGGTAGCCTGCAATGCTGCTGAGCTTTCTCTGAAAAATCCTGGGGTTGTTGAGGGAGTCATGGGGTGATGGCTACTTGTACATCCCCCAGCATGGCCCTGGGGCCACCAGGCTGTGGGGTTTGCCTACCCAGAGGAGGTGACAGCAGAGGAAATACTGCAGCAGCCAGCTTGCCTCCTTACAGTGCCTGTGTTCCCCCTGCTCATGCCCTTGGGTTTCCTGTACCAGGGAACAGAACATATGGCCCACCCATCCCCAGGATCAGTGGAGATTGGGATCAGCCAGCCCCAAAGGCTCTGGGGAAGCAGCAGGGGCAGTGAGTGTGCTGTGGCTGTGCCAGGGGGTGAGGAGGAGGGCTGGGTCTGAGCAGACAGCTCCTGCTCCTTTGACTGACACATGGATGATGCAAAGGGAATTTTACTCCTTTATGCTTTCCCTTGAATCCCAGGAAGCTGAGGGATAGAACATGGGGCTCTGGGAAAATACTATAATTATGGATAATTTGGTTTGTCTCTATCCTTTGGAAGTAAAATTCAGTGTATGAATTGACAATCTTGCAACTCTGACCTCCTTTCTTGACGGTTTTCTGTACTGCTTTCTGCTCTTGTTACTCTCTCTTCAGGGATTCCCTTTCCTATTTTATCCTCTGTTCCACAAGCATGAAATTTGGAGAATAACCTCCCTGTTGGCCAGCTGGTGCTAGGCCAGCCACCATCTTTCATAGTCTCCTGGAGCCTACCTTGGATCTTATTTGCTTGGAAAGAGTCCCACTGATTATAAATCAGTTGTATGGCAGAAATTCTGGAGTAGGGAGCATCTTTGTTGTTTGTGGTGATAGTAACCTTGCAAAGCAGAGCAAGATGAAGAAACCCATCTAATATATCAATGTGTGACTTCTGACATGTTGTCTGTACTAGAGACAACGACATATACAAGCCAACTGAGAAAATAACAGCTGTGATGATGGAGAGTAAGCCAAAGAAGTTTTGCTTTCTCAACAAGGAGTAGCTGCAAAGATGTGCCTGCACTTTATATACATAGGTTGCCATGATGTGTAAGAAAGAGCTGAACAGGTCAGCTGCCTGTACACACGTTGTAGTTAATGCTATTCTCATTAAATCTGTCATTTTCTTTCCGCAGTGCAAACTGACAGTCACCCAAACATAGATGCGAAAGGGTTGCTGATAGCAATAAAAGAAGGGCGAATTGACTAAATCCATGAGTAAGAGATGTTTCACCGTCTCTTTTTGCCTTGCAGGAAGAATGCAAGCAGATCCTGGCCCGGCAGAAATCCAGCTCCCAGTCGGATTCTCACGACGACGAGATTTCCCCTCCGCCGCCCAACCCGGTGGTGAAGGCGCGGCGCAGGAGAGGGGGCGTCAGTGCCGAGGTGTACACGGAGGAAGATGCTGTTTCCTACGTCAGAAAGGTAACCTGCCACCACCTCCTGCCTCTGGCAGCTACAAGCCAATCGAGTGACCCACGTTTTGTCCCTAATTTGGGCTCCTGGGCCAGTCTTCCTGCTGGCATGAGCGGGGCCTGACTGTCCTCACACTCAAGGTCTTTCCCCATCAGTGGGATTTCAGCATTCACTGTTCCTTCCTTTTTAAGATGTGCTGCTCATCTAACAGGGTCAGTAATTCTCAGCCATTTTCTTGATAATTACTGGCTTCAGCATCTTTTGAGTTTGATCAGAACCTCTCA